AAAAAAAAACTATACATACACAAACAAAATGTCAAGGAATTTGAGGAACCTTTTCTAAACAGTACACAGTTAATTCAGTGTCAATAATTCACATCTTGTAACAACCTGTATGGATATGATTTCTTTTACAAAACTTTCAGTGTCAAAAAGGAAATTAAGGCCATCAGATTCGCAGCTTAAAAATTCACATAAAGGAAATATAAAAATATTCTGTGCTTCTGAGAAGGCTCTGCACTGTATATAGGTAAGGATTACCATACTTCTTTGTTTTGAGGAAGACAGTTGATTTGAGAAGTTTACATAATTGCACAACTTCTATTGGATGCTCTTGAGGTTCCCTAATAAGGAAAACAGAAGAACAAATTAGCACGAAACATAGGGCTCACAGTGTTCCAAAATCCTATCATTGCTCCTTATCCTTTTAAACTTCTCTCATGGACTTCTTCCCTAGAATACTCCAATCAACTCCAGAAGTTAAAAAGGCTTAACTCTGGCTGCACATTCAGATCCTGAGAAATTAAAAAAAAAAAAAATCTGTTCTAGATCCCTAAACCAATTAGTGAGAATTTATATAACTGGAGAAGGATGTTTACATAATCTTAAAGGAATTCTAATATGTGGCGGAAGTTGAAAACCACCCTTCAATAACCTCCTTTGATAACTTAGGAAAGGGAGGTTAGTGAACTCCATTTCGAACAACCACATCAAAGAATACGGCTTGCTAGATCCGGAATTTCCGCATCCAGAGGCATTTGCCAAATGTGAAGTTAAAATGGCTCCTCTTTCCATATCTTTAATTCCTTAAAACTTCACAATATGACTTGTGACTCACCACTGCTTGAACTAAAACTACCTTCTTGGAGGGCACCAACAAACTTTTAATCAATTCAAAAGGCCACTGAATTTACCCTCAAATAAGAAGTCAGAACAGCTGCTCTGCCCTTCCATCTTCCTCTGCGAAACCTCGGTGTCATTATTTTCTATGATCACACAAGCTAAAAACCTCACACATCTTGGTATCTTTTTTCTTCTCTCACCCTGATGCTAATCATTAACTCTTAATACTTTTATATACGCCATTAGTGTCTCTGCTTCAACTTCATTCTGATATAAACCCCACAAGAACAGCTGGACGAACAGATACACTTGGAGCTTAAGTCTTGACACATCCTCTCTAGTGACTAAAGATCCCCATAAATGCTTTGCCACTCCTCCCATCAAGACTCCCCTCACCTTGAATCTGGGTTGTGAATATGCCAGAAAGGACACCGTGCCAGTTCTGGCCCGGCCTTTAAGAGACTTGGTACTCTCTGATTTGCCTCTTAGCCCACTGCCGTATTGTAACACAGCGAGGGCTAACCTACTCAGTTATGACAAGCCACATGGAGAGAGACCTGGACAAGATCCCACACCTACCAAATTCCCAGCTGAACACAACTGACTTCAGTCTCCACCATGCAGAGCTAAAGAATGGCAGAGCTGAGCTCAGTCAAGCTCACTGCTTCAAGCTGCTGTTTGGGGAGGGTGGTGGTCTGTTAGTGTAGGCCTGGCTAATTCAAGCACCCTCAGAACACCATCATTTTACTTCTTTCTAATACCCAAATGCCTTCTTATCCTTCAAAATACTGGACACTTCCCGGAGGTCTCAACTACTCTCCAGTGGACCAGAGCGCCTTCTCTAGTGTCTGAACTGCTACAAGTCATGCTCTGAGCCACTTGTCTGGCACCTTTACACATCTCTTCTATTGTTATTTTACCTCTAGTCATTAATGATGGCTCCCCACATGGAAAGAGACTTGGAAGATATTATGATTGTCTCCCATTAAGGGCAGATATGGCTCTTGTGCTTGTTTCTTGTTAAAGCCAAGTGTAAAGTATCCATTCTTAAATATTCCTCCAAAATATATGAGAAAATATCCAAGTAAAAAATTCATTCTACCTCATATAACCACTCCCAACCTTAGGAGCTAAACACATAAAAAAATGTTTATTAGAGGACAAAGATTAATGAAACAAAGCAAATTTAAGATGATAAATCTGGAAACATAGAAATAAACTCTTATCAGGAAAAGGGTAGGATTTTGATTAATGATCAGACTCAAATAGCTTGAGAATATAAATTGATGGCTCTTTAGTTATTAATAATTCCAATTTAATTATAATTAAAACCAAATTTGAAGTTTCTTTATTTCAAGGGCTCTCAGCAGCCCAAGCATCAGCTAAAATCTATCCTGCAATTAGAAAATTAGGAACTTAAAATAGCAAGAATTTCATTTCATACTGAAGTTCAACACTACTTTGTGGTTTTGTTTTTTTTTTTTTTGCTTGTTCTAATTTCGTGATATCCTTTTAATCTCAAAACTCTACAAAGTAAATAAATTTGGGGGTATGCAGTCTAATCCATATCTACCTATTTATTAGTAATATATATATATTCTACCATAACAGATTGCATACATTAAGAAACAAAAGATAACAATGAAATTTGATAGAATGATTAAAAAAATGAAAGTAAAAAAGAATGACTAACATATTATTCTAGTACTCTAAGGTATTACCTTGAATATACCTTTGGGAAGTACAAACCCTAGTTGGTACACAAATGCTCTGGTTCATCAAGTAATGAGGGAGAAAAACAAACCACACTATTGGTTTTTCATATAATTCTGTTAAAACAAACATATTAAAACAAATACCTGCTGGTGGAAAAGTTCTTCCTCAGCAACCACTCCAACTGCTTCTTCCTCCTCCTCCTCCTCTTCAGGTATGGTCGTTTTAAAGACTGTACTTCTTTGAGCAACCTCCTAAAAAGCAACCGTAGTTTGAGTTTAAGTTAAAAGCCATACTTAAAAATTGCAAAGGGGGCCAGAAGGATAGCTTGAACTTGAGAGTTCCAGACAAGGCTGAGTGAGACCAGAGTGAACAAAAGCCATACCCCTTCTCTACTGAAAATAGAAAAACTAGTCAGGTGTAGTAGCACATGCCTATAGCCCCAGCACTCCTATTTATTTATTTATTTACGTATTTTTAAATCATTCTGGGCGGCACCTGTGGCTCAAAGGAGTAGGGCGCTAGCCCCATATGCCGGAGGTGGTGGGTTCAAACCCAACCCCTGGTCAAAAACTACCAAAAAAAAAAAAAATCATTCCATCAGTAACTTTTGCTGCTGAACTGGAATTTCCGCATGATTAGTAGCAATTCTTAGACCTTCAACATTCCCTGTAGGGGAGTTACAAGTGTCCAATTTGAAACACCTGCTGAGAAGCTTCCACTGCTTTTTAATATCTTTCTAAGAATTCTGTAAATGATTTAGCATACTAAATTCTCTATAAAACTGAGTATGAATTCAACTGAAAGATGTGGCTCCAAGCAAAGAGAAGGTGCTAAATAAATGCTGAATAAAATGAAGCTGGAAGCCACTGTTGTCATCTCAGGAACTACGGTGACAAAAGAACTACCTGATAAGTGAGATGAAAAAGACAAGCTCCTTTCATTCCTGTAGCAACTGGTTCCTCTTGAATGAAATAGAATCAAGACAGATGAGCACTATGGACTAGTAACATATTAGTTCCAATGCATTCTATACAGAAATAGACCTCCCATCATTCAGCACAGGTATGACAGAAAGTAACTATTTCCATTCCCTACTAAAAGGCTCAAGTACAGATCACCTTCTTGTAGAAAATGCTGACTTGACGGAATGCAGCAGCATTTTTGTCTAAGCACCCTGCTAACCTGATGATGTGGCAGGAGGCAAATGAGCATGTCCTCCAGACGGCCGCAGAGCACGCCACTTCATTCCATGCCTGGTCCTCAGGCCGTGAGAAAGGTAACTCCACAGAGGCAGACACTAAAATCGCTTCCAAAAAAGCTTATCTAAGGTAGACCAGCTATTTCAAAATGGCTAAGGAAGAAAACCAAAACCCACTGCCATAGAAATGAGACTTCAATTTAAAATATACCCAAGAATATATTTTGTAAAGGAGGTAAAGTGGTAGAATTGCATTAATACTATGCAGGGATTTGATTACTATTGCATGACCAGGAAAGTTGGGCTATTTTGAATCTTTCAATTAGCCAGTTAACTTCAACTCTGTGAATTCAGTCTGTATTTACAAACGCAAATAGCCACTTCACAAATATCACATTGTTTCAACCAGATTAGTAGTAATACAAAAGTGTATCATTCACTAGATCGTTTATAATGTTTTAAACCAAGATATCACCTAGGTCTAGGAGATTGTAGCATTTAAAGCAGAAAAAAAAA